AGTATTTACCAAGAAGAGCAGTAGGCCTACATAAAAAAAAAAAAAAAAAAAAAAAAAAATTAATACTTGGCATTACAGGAAAATACATTGTTACTTGCTGTATATAAAATGTGTGCAATATAAGGAAACCTGGTATTAAATTTGGCTGCTGCTTTTTACCATGTTTACTGAAATATTTCCTAAAACATCTGTACCACTAAGGAACCTATTCTCCAGAATATTTGGAACTTGCAGTTAATAGTATCTTCACTTCTCTCCCTTTTTTGTACTGGTAATGCCAATTTCTTTCTTTATACAGGGCACATATAAGTGCCTAACCTATCGTGTGTCTGTCTCTATGCCCATAGACGTTAATAGTAGCACTTTGAAAACTGCATATTTTGTGCTTCGTCTACATGCTGTAGCTACTGTGTACTCTTGTTTGATTTGTATAGAGAATTTTTTTGTGAACTATGAAAATTGCTCTTTTCACAGTATACAGTGGACGTCCCTGGTATTACAGTTATGCGACAATCCAATCGCTTCTTTTTCTGTGGGCACACCTCAGGAAAGGTATGTCAGTCACTGTCACATTTTAAATGTTTAGTGGAATACTTGCACCTCTCCATCCTAAATGCAGCCCACTTGATCTTATACGTTCAGCCTTGATCTAGTGACCTCAGCTGCGTGGTCCCACTTAGGGCCACTTGGCATTTCTACGGAAAATGGCTGGTCTGCACTGCACATATACTTCAGTTTCATTCACTTCTGCAGGAAAGCCATACTACTAGCCACCTCAAGTGGCCACTTAGAGTATGGCCTTCCCATAAGCATGTATAGGGTCATAGTACATGTTCAAAGTATGAACCATCCATTTCCCCCCCCCCCCCCTTCAAGTTTGTTTTGTTGTTTTTGTTTGCTTTCCCAGTTAACCCTTTGAGGACCAAGGGATGTATTTTTCCCATGTTTTTAATTGCGTGTATCATCTGATTAAGAACTTAAAACTTTTTTTTTTTTTTTTTTTTTTTTTGAGTCAAAATATTAGTTCTTATCAACAAACAACAAATGGATCTAGCTTTTTGCCAATTATTTTATGAAATGGCTTAGTTACAGCAACTGAAGAGTACAAACTTTGAAAGCAAAAAAATTCTTTTGGCATTCCAAAACCTTACGGTCCTCAAAGGGTTAATAGAGTAGAGAACTAAACAATGTAGCTTACAATACAAAAAGCATAATCTATGATGTAATTACATGAGAAATTGGTGTACAGTTTAATGAAACTAACTCTGGTCTGTGGCACTTAGGCTGGCCATACATTATACAATTATTTGCAGATTTTTGGTTTAGATTTACCAAAAACCATATAATAGGAGGACAAACCTAAACAACACTTTCAGTTGTATCCAATTAGGCAGGCCCTTGCACTACATAGTTGAAGGTAAATCTAAAGGAAATTGGGCAGAAAATCTGCAGATAATTGTATAATGTATGGCCAGCCTAATGCAGGCCATAGATGGGGAGAAAAACGGCCGATTTTTCGTCCGAAAATAAAACCGGCCGATTATCTTATCGTTAGTGGACGATTTTGTCGGCCGTTTTTCGTGTATTTTGGACTTTCAGATTATCGGTGATGTTGGAAAATTTTCGAAAAACGCCCGACTTTATCCTCATTGATGGTCAAAAACGAACGATCGTTTTCCGAAAAAGGATCACAAAGGCCACAAAATGACATCATTTCCCGTTATAGGTTACTCATTAATCGGCCGATTTTCGTAATAATTGGTGGTCAGGTAAGTTTGTTTTTTTTTTTTTTTTTTTTTTTTTTAGACCGACCGATAGTTCGTTAATCGGCCGCAAATCTGCCGTTTTTCTCCCCATCTATGGCCTGCATAAGCGTGTGATGTTAAAATACACAGGTGGGGTTATTTACTAAAATTAGAAATTGCTAAATCTGTTGCAGCTCTACAGAGGAACCAATCCGCTTCCAGGTTTTCTAGTCCAAGCCTAATTAAACAAGCTGAAGTTAGAAGCTGATTTGGCTACCATGCACAGCTGCACCAGGTTTAGTAAATAACTGGAAAGGGACACAAATATACCTGTTCTAGGTCACTGACTTTTGTCAGCAAGTATTGCTTGACTGTCATGTATATGCACTGGCTTCAACTAGCATTTTTAGAAAGAGATCAACAATGGCAGCATACATGTTTTGTTCATGACAGGATTCCTTTTAGCAGTCCTTGGAGGATTTTTGTAACATTTCCTATCATAGTATGATTACTGAGAGCAGTTTTCATGTTGCTATAGAGGAGTGCACTTTGAGAGTTAAATTTCAGCACCTGCTGAGCAGTGGGCAAGCGATAAAGTGTGTGGGAATTATTTTGCATTCTGCTTTTCTGGTATCTGTGCTGATCTGTTGATGTTGTAATCCATTTGAGACCCCAGTGAATGAAGCCAGAGGCTTTTCATGGAAGGTTTTTTTTTTTTTTTTTTTCCCCAAATATAAAAGAACCTGCAATACAGACTCACTGCTGACCTCTTTCAGAGAATTCTACTTGCCTGGCTGACATGCTAATCCAATGGCTTCTTTTTCTGAATCTCCTAATTGGAACATGTATGCAGATCAAGGGTACTGACTTCATTTCAATTTTCTATTTTGCGTACTTCTGGGCTGATTACCCTGAATGTATTGCATCCAGAGAGCCAGGAAACCATTTTACCTCTGGGCTGGTCTGTTTACACACTCAAAGTGCAGCACCAGGCTTCTTTGCTTTAAAAAATACACCTTTTTAGTGCAGTATTTTGCTGTAGTTTGTAGTTCCCTCTTAAAGTTAAACTGCATAACATTGTATATACCTGTGCCGGTAAGTTCACAACACAACGAAAATACAACCTATTCATGCTCACTCGCACTCCTCAGAAGTTCTAAAACCCATAAGGTGACCTCTAGCAGACAAACCAGTCTTTTTTTTTTTTTTTTTTTTTTTTTTTTTTGCATAATGTTCTACTTTGCCTCTACAGCTGTTGCAAAAGAGGCAGGGAAATTGCAGTGTGCTCCGAAGAACCACTAAGATTGCACTTTCCATTTTAGGTTGAGATGCCGCATTTTTCGCTCCATACGATGCACTTTTTTTTTCCTCCAAAAAAAAATGGGGGGGAGGGGGGAAATGTCTGCATCTTATGGAGAGGCTGACCCAGTATTGCTATGTCAGAATACTGGGCTGGCCGCTCAGCTCTTCTCTGCAGCAGAACCTTACCTGTTCCTCAGTCCAGCGGTGTCCTCACGGTCTTCTCTCCCGGTGCAGGCATCGTTAGTGTGGGCACCTGGCTGTGACCGCTTACGGCTTCACAGCTGGGTGCCCACTGCGCATGCCTGGGAAGCGCTGCGCTTTGTGAATGGTCTGGCAGTTTTCTGGGACCTGTCCTGTGTCGGAAGTGGGAGCGGGTACCTGTCAAATTCAGGTACCCACCCTAACCAAATGTCCGCAGTATCTGGTCATCCCTGTAGTGTTTGTAGATAGTGAGTTTATATTTAAAAAAAAAAAAAAAAAAAAAAAATTTCCATACAGAATTTCTTTGCTAACCTGTTTGACAGAATTTAGGGACTTTGTGTCCACGATTGGCATGTCTAGCTTTTATTTTTCATGTAAAATTATAATTTTCAATTACTTGGCTTTTTTTTTTTTTTTTTTTTTTTTTTTTTTTTACCAGGTTTCCCTTAGAGATCTGCGCACTTTCAAAGTGGAACATGAATTTGATGCCTACTCTGGTAGCTTGTCTGACTTTGATGTCCATGGAAATCTGGTAGTGACCTGTGGTTTTACGAGTCGTATGGGTGTGCTGGCTTGTGACCGGTTCCTAAAAGTATATGATTTACGAATGATGCGGGCCATCACCCCTCTGCAAGTCCATGTTGACCCCCTCTTTCTGCGATTTGTTCCTACCTATACATCACGGCTAGCAATTATTTCTGAACGAGGTGAGTGGGGTGTTTTTAAAAAAAAAAAAAAAAAAACATTTCTTTCCATAGTTAAAATGCTCTTCTCCTAGTGGCAAGTCTCTCAGCTCTATTTTCAGTCTGAAACATTGTACACTTGGTACATATATCTTTTGACCAATATAGGTCCCCATCTATTGATCCCTTACAATTCTTTCTCTTTCTGATTTTATAGGTCAGTGTCAGTTTTGTGAACCAACTGGTTTGGCCAATCCTGCAGACATCTTCCATGTCAGCACAGTAGGTCAGCTAATAATGTCCTTTGATGTGTCTGCTAGCAAGCAAGTTCTGGCATTTGGAGACTCCGATGGCTGCATCCATTTGTGGGCAGATACCCCAGAAGCAACATTTAACACTTACCCACGTGACTCAGAATTTGCATTGCCCTGCATGGTGGACAACTTGCCACATCTAGACTGGAATCAAGACCTTATGCCTCTTTCCCTTATCCCCGTTCCACTGATTAATGAAACCTTGCTTTCTGATTGGCCTGCTGCTAACTGCACTCCTGCGCCTCGGTATGTTAGTCCTTTCCCATGTCAGAAACACACAATTGCGTACGCACACACATTATTCACTCTCTTTGGGTCAAGATGTAAAACTGCTTTCTGTTTAAGAAGGTTTCTCCCTATACTAAATAAAAAAAAAAAAAAAAAATTGTGTGGGTAGCTAGATCTGTTAGCTGTCAACTGAGCTGCAACATATTTTTGTATTGCCTACTCTTGTATCCCTATCCTGAATGGATGTATCTAATACACAAGTGTAGTAATCAATTTCCTATACACTTCCATATAGGTAAAAAGGTCAAGTTGTCTGTCCAAGCGTGTGTGGGGTGGATGTTTGCAGGAACATGCTTTTAAATACTGAAAACTATTAAGCTGTGTGGTCTGACAACAGATGTGGTTGAGCTTGAGCTGTTACCCTTCACACACAGATTTCTCTTCAATCGTATCTCTTCTCCACATTTACTGACCATTGTCTCTTCTTCAGTCGCGCTCCCCCTGTAGATCAAGAGATACTGCGCACAATGAAGCAAGTTGGGTTCATTGGCTACTCTCCCAATCCTAGAACAAAGCTCCGGAATCAGGTCTGCCTTTTTTTACGTTCTGTATTCTTTGCTTTATGTGGTAGTCGTATAAAAACTGCATAAGTGTTTTGCAGAGAAAAAAAAATGAATTTTTCAATTTTCCTTGGACTGTTTTCATAATTTGGTCTTCCGGAGAGAGATGTATAGCAATTTGATGCGAGTATTGGTGTGTGGGGCGCCTTTTTTTTTTTTTTTTTTTTTTTTTTTTTTTTTTTTTTTTTTTTTTTTTTTTTTTATAGGGTGAATGGACTTGTAAAGATGCTGTAATGGCAGTGATTTTTTCCAGCAGTCTCTTGTAACATGTTCAGTCTCTCATTGTCTCCTGCAACATGTCCCCAAGCATGTCTGCATTATTTCCCCATCTACTACAGGATATCGTGTGTGTGTGTGTGTTTTGTCTACTACAGGATATCGTGTGTGTCATTCTCCATGTAATACTCGGCTGTTCTCTTGTTTGCTCATACATTTTCTAGGCAGCTGTGGCAAGCTAGCCACTGCAGATGCTTGCTATATTTGTTTTATGTGGCTAGGGTTATCTTGACACACTAATAAAGAAGCCGATATAATTTAACTTCTCTTATGTGCCTTTTTTTGTTTAGGTGCCCTATCAACTGGAAAACGATTTTGATACCTTTAACCAAGTTCCTGAATCGCCAATAGGACGCGAGGAAGAGCCTCACCTCTACATGGTGCCCAAAAAGTACCGGAAGGTCCAGTAGCCAATTATCATCCTCTGTTCTCTTCTGTGCTTTTCTTGAGATGTATTGATACCATAGTAACCAATTTACTAAAGCAGTCTCTTTTCCCATGCTGCATATATAGCCATATTAACACAGATTGCAAATTTTAGAAATATATTGGTTGTAAAAAAAATTTTATGTACTGTGAAATGTTGAGTACTTGTAGGATTGCCAGACCTCGAGTAGAATCAAGCTTGATTCCTGTTGTGCCTTTGCTGCTGCTCCAGGGCTTGGGGTACAGAGGTCTCTCTACTAGTTAGGCATGGTTGTAACAAGCTAAGTTTGTTTTGCCATGGGCTGTATACCAGCCATATTCCCCCAGCAAATCTGCTAAAGAGGAAAGATGTCAAAGTGGTATTTTACCTCTTGTGGCTATTTCTGCAGGAATGTGTGGATGGCTTAGGTTGGTGGCCCCCCCCCCCCCCCCCCCCCCCCCCCCCCCCCCCCCCCCCCGAGTGCGCAATATGTGAATTCGTGCAGTTAATAGGCAGCAGCTGTCGGGTTACAATTGTACCCGGACACTCCAGCTCAAATGAACTAATTCTATTTCTATAGCCTGGTCCAATAAAGACCACTTCACTAGAGGTACTATAGTTTTTGTGCTTTTCTCACATTGCATGCCTGTATGCACTACCAGCTTAGTTGCAGTAGATGGTATTGACAGGTGGAAGTCACTGTATATTTCCTGTAACTGTAATGCTACTCATGGCCATGGACAAAGTGAAGTCAGTGCAAGCTGAATGTGTGACCATTCACAGCAATCACTTAATAAAGCAATGTTGTATAAAGACTGTACAGTACGTTTCACACAGGATTCAGCTTGTATATGAGTAGTGTGGACAGAAAACGTATGAAAATTTTCAGCGAACGTCTGCAAAGCTTTTGGCAAGCTTTGAGCAGCTTTGTTTTAAGCCTTTAAAGTGTATGTATTATAGCAGGCTTTCAAAAAGCTTCTAGTAGTGCTGATACCTCATCTTGTAGTGACTGTTAGCACACCATTAGGGCTGGAGTTGAACAGTAGCTTTAAACGCTTCAGCAAAGCTAGGTGAAAGCTGCAAATGCTTTGTAAAGGCTTGCTGTTCACACTAGCTCTCATACAAGCTGAAGCCCTACTGAAATAAGCCTACCATAGATTTTTCATTCTGGCCCTTATATTGCCAATGGGTAGAGAGATGTGAAATGCTACACTGTGCTTAAACCCTTTGTAGCTACTTAAAATATTAGTCTGGCCATTAGGGCACAAACACCTCAGCCACAATGGGGTAGAAGAGCAAATTTCTTTTGAAAAGGAGATCAGAAAGTGTCTGTTGCCTATAGGAATTTTGGGGGTGATACCAGCCATCTTTTTACTAACTTGCAGTCTAGCAAGAGTAGAGTGTGTGTTCGTTCGTTCGTTCGTTCTGCAGTTAAGAGCATAAATGGTAAAAATCTATAATTTTGAGATTCTCTTCTGCAGATGTCCAAAGTGTCGTCATAGGAAGCAGGAAGATGTGCTGTAATAGTCCTCCAGAAATGTTATCTTTTTCCACATCCTGCAGGAATAGGATATTCTAACCTTCAAGAGTTATTTTTTTTTCATATGTTTTGCAAAGTAAAATTTAATTTTTAGATTAGCTGAGAAAATCCATGATTCACGATGGGGTTTTTTTTTTTTTTCTGTTTTGTTACAGGTAACCATAAAATATTCCAAACTTGGACTAGAAGACTTTGATTTTAAACACTACAATAAAACCTTGTTTGCTGGCCTTGAGCCTCATATTCCCAACGCCTACTGCAACTGCATGATTCAGGTAAGTAGGGGCCTGTCTCGCTGTGTGTAGGCGATGCTGGCTGACTGGTCACAAGTGTTGCCTGTTGTGCTGCACACAGGTGCAGTCATGTCTGATTGGGAGTAGGGAAGCAGCACTTGACAAGCTTAATATATGTTTAGTACTTTACACAATAAGCCAAGAATTGAGGGTGATTGTTTGACATAAAGTAGCAATCTGAGACAATCTCCTCCCTCTTTTTTTTTTTTTTTTTTTTTTTTTTTTTTAACAAAATCCCAGGCACTCAGTCACATGGTCTCCGGCTTATCGGGCTGGAAATGCATTGATGTGAGGGCTTCATCTTTGGTGCATACTGTCTATATGGGCAGAGGGAGGTTTTTGCTTGAATTTCTCTTGCTTGGGCATAGCCCTTAAACTGCAGCATGTCATGCACCCATTCTGCTGGTAGTGTCAAAGGGGTGTTTGTTGCCAGTTAAGGTATAGACGGAGAATATAGAATCGTGAATAATTAAAATGAAGCGAGGACCTAGGCAAATAAGAAGCCAATTTTGTAGGCATAATGCATTTTAGGTTTATAATGAACTCCTGTTTGAAACAGACTGGTTACATGATGGCCTTTAAAAAAAGCTGCAATTCTAAGAATGGGGAGAAGGGTAGGCTAAACCCCTTTACTGATTCGGCACGCTCCCCCTTTCCTGTTTAAGTAATGTAAAGCTTTAAACATGCTCCTGTGCTAGCAAAAAATGCCCTAGGCCAGGGCTTGACAAATCCTAAGTCACGATGGCAAATTAGAAAGTGCGTCCCGGTTCACACACTGCCTCCTATTTGACTTTAATGCAAAAAACTGCACCCTTATTGACTTCAATGCAAAAACTCCTGTCTATAGCATTCTTATGTGAACACTTGTCTCCGCATGCCACTCTCCTCTATCACTTGCAAATCTGGAATGCACTGCTATAAACTTGCACAGGACCCTTTTTCCTATTGGAACTCGAAATGCAATGCATGTGGATCACATCTGTGTGAACCTCCTCAATAGGAACGTATAATATATAGCCTGTCATGCAAATCTGAGTTTGAAAACTGATCCAGAATTGCATATGTATGAACCAGGGTGGCTCAATTCATACCTGTGCATCTTGGGATCGTGGCAGAATCGCTGTGATTGCACAGAGCAAGTTCAGATGACATTTTTTCCAATGGTGTGATTGGCACGTGACAAATGGCGTCAAATGAAGCTTGTCGCCCAAAAGATGCCTTGCTCTGGTCACTGACAACTCTCACTACACAAAAATCCTGTCTCCCAACTCTTAGCTGGCTGATAGGTTCAAACCAAATTTGTAAAGCCCTGCTCTATGGCCATGTGGGAATGTTACTTTAGAATCTTAATGCCTTCTTTTGTAAATATACCTCTTTAAATGTAGAAATAGGCTTTGTGATGAACCATAGCCAAATATATTCAAATTACACCCTTGAGTAACTGGCAAAGAATCCTGTGCTAGCTCTGGTCAGAAAGGGGTTCCGAAAGAGTGTCAGATATTTTATTACTTAGGATTTTGGGCAGTGTGAGCCAGGGTTCCAAACGTGTGTTTTTGTTTTTTAAACCATATTGATTTACATCGCTGAAGGTGTGACTTGTTAAAATGGCATTCCATATGATAGGCTGGTAGAGTTGAAGGCCCTGACTCTGTTCTGTTATGGTTGTTCCAGTTTGTCATAGAACATGTATGTATGTATGTATTTTATGGCTCTAATTGCACCAAAAAGGTGCAGGACCCTTTTTGGGGTCCACACTAGAATCTGATGACATGGGTATTCACACCTATGCGATCAGATTCTGCACATTACACCATGTTTTTGCAAACTGCTTTCAGGGTCTTAATATACACACCCGCAGCAATTCGCATGAACAGGGTGTGATTCTAATGTGGTGTGGAATACGCTGTGAATTCCACACCACATCAGTGAACAAGGGCTCAGCTTTTGTATTCTCTTTTCTCCCCAGGTGATGTATTTGATGGAGCCAGTTCGATGCCTTGTACAGAACCATCTATGTCAAAAGGAGTTTTGCCTAAGCTGTGAATTGGGATTCTTGTTCCACATGCTGGATTTGTCACGTGGTGATCCTTGCCAAGTATGTATATTACCGTGGGGATATAAGCAAATTCTAGAGACTTGGGAAGTTTTCAACAAACTGCTGCTACCTGTCTGTCGGTGAATAGATACTTGATAAACTCACTGGTTGCTTTGTTGCTGATCAGTGTAATGTATTGGAAGTTGCTCTTCAGGAACTCAAATGTGTATGCTGTACGGAGCTGGTTTCAGTTGCATTTACTCTGTTTTACAATTCTTACCATTTGTCAGCAGGATGAAACCTCTTATGTAGCAGAGTGTGTGAAATGTGGTGTGTGGGGTTTTTTTTTAATGGTACATTTTGTCGTGTGTGTGTGTGTGTGTGTGTGTGTGTGTGTCCCTATCTGAAGGAAAATCACATTTTTTACTATAAAAAGTGTAACATTTTTGTTTTGTAGTGCTGAAGAATGTCTGTCTGTATTGTGTACCACCCAAGTTGCCAATCTACAATGTTTCTACACAAAGGGCTTCTGCTACACTACCCTTTTTACAGGAATTAAGATCTATTGTCTGCACCAACTTTGACCGTAGTTGTCTGCAAGTGGACCTCTGTCCTTTATAAATGAATAACTGCAGGTTTCTTGAGTACCTGAGCTGACTGTTTTTTGTAGGAACCTCTATTCATCCTAGCAATGAACAGAGGTCCATTTACCGCAAGTGAGAGCTGTCAAAGCTGTTGCATGATTGGGGGTGCAACAAACAAGGATCTTTATGCTTTTAATTCATTTTCCTTCGTATTTGCCACATTTTGCAGCCATAGCCCTGCTGTGAATACCTGCAATTGCTCGTTCTTAATACTATGAGGCTGAACCCTGATCTATTGTATGAGTTGATACCTAAATTGGTGCTTTCGCAGTGGCTACATTTTATATTCCGAAGTATCCAGGGACTTATGATTCCTAGAATATCACACCTGATACCCTGGGCTGTTTTTATGAAGCCGACTTCTTTAAAGATTCCCTGAAGTAAGCATTGCAATTGAGGTATCTTCCCAGCCTTAGCACAACACAGAAGAATGTAGAGTCAAATTTATGTAGTGGGTTCATGCATTATCTATAATGAACATTTCAATTTATTTTAATAGTCCCAAGTGCCAGAGCCACTGGCTCTGGAGAACATATTGAGACAAATGGCTCAGTGTAAGCTTTCACATTCATAAGGCATAATGTCTGGAGTCCCTGTAATGGTGCTTGTAATACCTTGTGTGTGTTCCACCATAATCTTATGTTTTTACATTATTTTGTAAGGCCAGTAACTTCTTGAGAGCTTTCCGAACCATTCCTGAAGCAGCAGCACTGGGACTTATTTTGGCCGATTCAGATGAGGCAACTGGAAAGGTCAATCTTGGCCGTCTGATTCAAAGCTGGTGCCGCTTCCTTCTGACTCAACTTCACCAAGAGACACAAGAGCTAGAAGGCCCACAGGCTTATCGTGGTATTGGAAGTGCCAGGTATAATAAGTGTGTGTGTTGGGTCTTTGTTTTGGTTTTGTTTTTTGTCCCCCCCCCCCTCCAGGCAGCGATGTGCTTTTATGTTAAAGTGATCAGTGGCTTTACAGATGCCTCCAGGGCCTCTGCTTTCAGAAAATACATAATGTTCAGATGCTTAGTAAAAAAACCAGTGCTAGAAAATTACTTTTTAATTTATTTTTTTAAACTAGTATGAGAAATGTCTAAGTTGCCATGGATGGCAAGCAGATCAGTACATCTGCACTTAAAAGCATGCAGATGTTTTTTGTTAATTGCTGCATTTTGAAACCTAATAGGAGGTAATGGACACAATCTTACAGACTTTGCCATTCTACTGATAAATAAGTAAAAGGTTATTGAGACCTTGGAAAGTTAATGCCTCATATGCTGAAAATGCATCCTTAGAAATGGCAACCTAGGTATACTCCATTTATTCATTTTAATATTCTTGGAATTGACTAATATTACTGCACAATAATTGTTCAGATTGCCTCTTCTCTTACCATGCTGGACACCTATGTGTCTGGAAACCTATTTTGCTCAGTTGTTTACACTGAAGGATTTACAAAAATTATTCAGATAACTGGGAAATGTAATAGATTTAAGATTAATAGATTATCTAGTTTGGTGACAGGATTGTACTTTTTACAGATTCTTTAGGGAGTTTCATATTTTTAGTATGCTGTTGCTGGCATTGAACCCCTATTTTTTCTTTCCCCCCCCCCCCCCCCCCAGCATGTTTGCATCCACAGGGGGCTCTGTGATTGGACAGCTGTTTGGATGTGAAGTGGAGAACTGTAGCATGTGCAGATGCGGCAAGGAAACCGTGCGCCTTTCCACAACCCTACTCTTTACCTTGTCATACCCTGAAGTCAACAGTAATCGTGAGTATAACATCTCTTGGATATCAGGAGCAGTAATCTTTCAGACACCTACACTTTTTTTTTTTTTTTTTTTTTTTTTTTTTTTTTTTTTTTTTTTAAAAATTCACAAAGAGCTGATGTCCAGTGTTTGGCTTACTACCTCAGAGAACAGCCTATGATAGAGCTTGATTTGACTCTGTTTCTATCAAGGTGTTCTTTTCAGTGCAGAATCACTGACCATGTTAGCAGCCAGCCTCCCCTATAATTCTGTAGTGAGAAGAAAGCAAAAACTGTTCTAGGGATGCACCGAAATTTTGGTGGCCGAAACGTTTTGGCCGAAATGAGAAGTACTGATTACAGGTGCCGAAAAAACCCCGCCGCTCAGTAGTTCTCAGCCTTGCCTGAGAAACCATTGAACGATGCTGGTGCTGGGCATAGAGTTGAGTGAAGGAAAGATGGCCTCTACTCGCCTCTATGCCCTTGGAGGACCGGAGCAATGTCACTTCTGGGCTTTTTAAGAAAAAAAAAAAATAGTGGGGGCCCCCCCCCCCCCCCCCCCCCCCCCACGTAAGAGCAATAATTCTTGCACTAGATCTACTCTAAAAATTTCTACTGGTTAGCAGTGTAAAGTTAAAGCCTCGCCAATGGATATTTTAAGTACCGCAGTTTCACGCCATTCCACAAGCGCACACAATTTTAAAGTGGGACGTGTTTGGTATCTATGCTCTGCAACATGCTCTTTCATGTTTTACAAATATATTGTGTTTTCCCCCCCAAAAAAATTTCATTTTTAAAATGCGCATTTGTTTTTGGCAAAGTGCATTTTGAAGTTTCAGTACACCACTAGACTGTTCAGGTGTGATATGTATGTCCTTTAGCGACTATTTCACTGTTTATATGCCAATGTTTGTTTTTTCAGAGTTGGCTATCATTCATACCCAGATCTTGTGCATGTGCTTCGGTGTATGTGGTTTCAGCACATATAAGAATTGGGAAGGGGGTGGGCTACTTATGTAGCAGGGTACTTTTTTTTCAGGTCTTTCCAAGGAGCAGCAGGGAAACCCCACTGAATGTATAATTGTCCAAACCTTTGTAATTCCTACTTCTGCATGAAAGGATTTTACTGAATATGATTTTTTTTTATGTATTACCATACAGTTACCTGAAATATATTTTAAGTGGGCCTTTATAACTTTACCTACACTCTATAGCAGATTTAATGCTACAGGGTGGACGTTCTGTGCAAAATCGCATATATAAATATAATTTTGCACTTCCGCCACAGGTGGATGCCCGCCTGCTGCCAGAGTGCTGCTTCTGCTGTGATTGGACACCGCAGAAGTCAATTAACAGGTGCTGGCCAAAAGATGAGCGCTGGCACCCGCTGATTGCCAAGGACACTGACATAACACAGCTTTGATTGTGTTAAGTCAACAGCGATCTGCTAGGTTTTATTCAGAAAATAAAATCTTAGCCGTTTGCCTAGTATAAACAGTGCACACACAAACCCTAGCTAGGCACACAATTATCCCTTTTGATCACCCTAGATGTTTAACCCCTTCCCAGTGTCATTAATGACAGTGTATATTTTTAGCACTGTATTGTCACTGGTTCCCACAAAGTGTCAATTATTGTAAAAATGTCTGCCACACTATCTCAGTCCTGCTATAAGTCGCTGACCACTGCACTACTCCTGGTGATCATAAAGAACCCCAATCTATAGGCAAAGAATGACACTCTGCCTGCGAATGTAAGATCACCCTTTCAAATGCTCGGGAACAAGAGTCAAACCTTCATTTTAAAGCTGAAGATTAATCTACCTATATTTATGCAAATATCCAATGCTTTCATGGGCATGTGTCAGTATGGAAGAGGGCATGCAAATCCCCCTAGGTAACAACCGCATGTAACGCTGAGCCTGAAATCCAATGAATGCAAGGGGAAGGTCAGACAGTCAGGCTGGAGAGGAAATGGCTAGATGCAAAGCCTCATCCAGCCAGGAATGAGGCAGGCTATATCTGACTTTTATTTCAGTGCATATGTTGAGCTTATCAGTGTACATCAGAAGCTGCAGCAAGCAATTTTTTAGGAGCCTGTACAGCTATGCAGGACTGAAGGTAAGGCTGGCGTTTCAGCTTTAAATGAAATATGTAGTGAATGTGCAGCTTCTGCTGTGTTCTCAGTAATGCTCTGTGATACCAATGTCTTTGTCGGTCCTTGTATTATGTTTGGTAAAGTCCGTAGTATCCACCGTGAATAAAACTGAGCCATCATACTTTTACATTTTTGTTAATTCCAGGTAAAGATCCACCAGACTACGAGTTTGTAGAGATCCTTAGGAGAAGTATCTGTCTGGAGCAGAATACTCAAGCATGGTGTGAAAATTGTGAGAAGTACCAGCCTACAGTAAGTTATTGAATGGTGCAGCTCTGTATTTCATCTGGAGAAGAATAAACTATTAGAATGCTAGAAAAAAAATTGCTTTTCCATGATGAAGTGATCTAAGTAGTTTCTTGGTGAAAGGGGAATACAGATGTGTATCTGTGAAGGCTTACCTGTTCCTTGGCTATACTGGTAGCTGTCATCTAAGGGACTTTTCATAACTGTCAGTTGTTTTGTGTGTGGGGGGGGGGGGGTTTTCTTCCCGTATTTCAATGTCCAGTGCATGTTGTGGGTGGTACAGTGGATTAAAAACTTAGTTTTCAATGGCTGATATGGTTATCCATGCAGGAGTGTTTTGTGGCCCTTTTTTTACAGGGAGCAAACGAACGTTCCTGCCAGGAAATCAGTCAAGGTCATGGGGCACATTACAGCCACAGCAAATGCATGGCAAGAGACTGAGCATTCACTCAATAACTGGACCTTTTTTTACAGCACAAATTCCTTCCTCACCAGAGGCAGACTGACCATTTGGAAAGTCTGGCACTGCCCGAGGGCCTGGGGTCAGTAGGGGGCCCCATGAGATGCCCCTGGTACTTTTTTTTTTTTTTTTTTTTTTTTTAATAGGCTTTGAGTTTGGGCAAAGACACGGGCCCCATGATCCCCTATTGCCCAGGGGCCCCATGAGTTGTCAGTCCTCCCCTGTTCCTCGCCCTATACTTAGATTAATTTTTGGGATACATTGCCCTCAGTAGCTTTTCAAAATGGTAGGCTTGACTTTACCTACTTTTGTGGCAGCTGCCTGAGATTTCCAGGATCAGTTGTCTTTAATGTAACTTTTTATTTATTTTTGGCATGTGAGTTGAGTAACATGCATTCAAGGGGTTGATTTGGCCTCCAAGTTCTCCATATTTCAATTTCTTCAAGCATCTGTGGGATATGCTGGTAAAACAAGTCTGATGCATGGAGGCCTCACCTCACAACTTGCAGGACCTAAAGGATCTGCTAATGAGAACTTGGTGCTAGATACCACAGCATGCCTTCAGAGGTCTAGTAGAGTCCATGTCTCGAGGGGTTATGGTGGGTAGTCCTAATGTTATGGCTGATCAAGAAATGTAGAAGGGCAGGGAAGCCCAAAACTGTTCTTAGTTTCCAGCTCGATGTGTCATGTGAGGAAAACATTGGAAAACAACCACTTACTATTACATCTCGCTTCTGGTCCTTCAGCATGGATTGTATGTTAAGTAGTGTTTGGAGCCCACTTGATTGGTGGATTCAGTCCTTATCCCAGACAGCTTCTAAGCAGATGTTTGTTCTTCTCACAGGTACAAACCCGCAATATTCGTTGTCTTCCTGATGTGCTTGTTATCAACTGTGAAGTTAACAGCACAAAGGAGGCAGAATTCTGGAAGACTCAGGCAGAGGTATAGTTGATGACTTTCCTAAATATGCAGCCAGAATGTTTCTGTAAACCCTACATTATAGAAATACTGTATATGGATAGGTAGGTTTATCATATGCCAGCTTTGCCACCATCTTTACAAAAAGTATTTTGAATTTTATTTGTTTTTGCAGTATGCTTTCAAAAAGTCGCTGAGGAAAATAGAGCCATCTTTTTCAATTCCAAATGAAAGCCCAGGAGAATGGTAAGAACCTACATTGACTTTCATAAAGGCCACATAATATAATTTTTTTTTTTTTTTTTTTTTTTTTTTTTTTTTTACAAATTCTTGTATAATCCTTAAATGATGTGGGTACACATGCTGTCACATTCATATAGTTCACTTTTTTTCTTGTTAGGAATGCATTCAATATTCCTGAGACTGCCCCTCCTCCACCACTGTTGCCTTCAGTGGAGGAACTTCGCAACGTATGGGTGCCGTACTCTCTGAAGATGAAGTTGTCCAAAAACAAAGAACTTGAGGTTCTAAATTGTGAAGATAATGAGGAGGTAAGAGCTAGAAATTAGTAAGGTCAGTTGCACAGGGCTGCGGTGTGGTTTGTCTGCGCAGGTGTAAGCAGTTTTCGTGTGGTTAACATGCAATTTGTTACTTCGCTCATTTTCTGAAAGCACACCAAAGATGCAGCTTTGCAGGTCTTTTGGTACGGTTTCAGAAAATGCACGATCTAATAAGTCGATGGGAAACTGCAAGTTATCCTCAAGAAAACCAGAGGTACAGCTGTGCTGTGGGCAAACTGCAGTGCAGCAGTGTGAAACTGGCCCGAAGCAAAGTCATATTCTCCTCCTAGACGTTAGAAGATTATGACATCTTTAGTAGTGGTTTTGTCTTTGAATTACTCTCTTGAGGGTGTTTCTAAAGAGAACAAACTAAATAAAACCCCAAGTCTTCTTTCCTTAACCACTTGCCCTCCTGAGAATTTTACCCCCCCTCCCCCTCCCCCCTTCCTGACAGGCCATTTTTTTGCATTTGGACGCTGCATTACTGTAACTGACAATTGCGCCATCCTGCAACGCTGCACCCAAATTAAATTTTACGTTTTTGTTTTTTTTTTCCATGAATTGAGCTTTCTTTTGGTGGTATTTTGATCACTTTTTTTCAATAGTAATGGCAGCGATCAGTGACTTATAGCAGGACTGTGGCGGGCATTATGACACTGGGGGGGAAGTAACTTGGTGTCACTGACATCTCCAGTGACACCAATACAGTGATCAGTGCTAAAAAAACACACTGTACTAATGGCATTGGGCAGCAAGGTGCTTCACTGCAAGCACAGCCATCTAGAGCAGTGTGCCCAAGCCGACAGGGAGGACTGTTGGTGAACAAAGCAGTCTTCCTCCCCATCAGAGATCCTTGGTAATCACCAGCCGGGACCCGGTGGTTGACAGCTGCAGAAATGCAAAATCAATGTGTGGTGGGTTTTTTTTTTTTTTTTTTTTTTTTTTTTTTTTTTTTTTTCCCCCCCGCACCTGTCGTCACCCTGTAGCAGTAGATCGGGAAGCGGTTAAAGTAATACTTGTCTAATGCTACAAGCATACTTGCTGGATCATAACTAAATGTTTTGGAACTGTTTATTAATACGGTCCCATATGCTATTTAATAAAGTTCCAAAAAGCACTGGACACCAGCTCATTGCTTATGTGCAACAGGGACCCACCTTACAGAACATGGCAACAGACACCAAGGGGTAAAGTGTTTATCTGAAACTTACGTGCCACTGTTAGGCAGGTAATATTTCACCAACACACTTTAAATGGATCAGGGGTCATTAAAGAAAAATTGAACTCTAAAAGCTGTGGGCAAAAAAAGGCAAAGGAGCAAATGACTAATCCCCAGTATTGCACATTGTCTCCTAGTAGATGATTTTGTTCTACAATGTGTCACTGTGGTAGAAGGAAAGGGCTTTGCTTCTTTGTCATTCGCCACCGGAAAGGAAAATGGTAAGCAACATAGTGACATCACCAAGGAGGCATTTAAGACAAAGGTATATTTTATCAGGGAGCAGCTTGGTAACAGCTGACTTTTTTAATTTGCTTGTAGTTTTGCCTTCTGTGACTTCTCTAATTTTTTTTTTTAGCATGATAAATTCTTTAAACAACTTTTTTTTTTTTTTTTTTTTTTTTTTTTTTTTTGTGTCCTACAGCCAAATCAGCCAGAGGATGACAAAGATGAAGCCACAAACATATATGACCTTATGGCAACTGTTGTCCACATCTTAGATCCTCGTACTGGTGGCAGCTTGGTAGCCCATATTAAAGTAGGAGAGACTTATCACCAAAGAAAAGAAGTGAGTGTTCTCGCTTGGTTAGGTATGACATAGATTGTGAAAAACAATCCCTGATATGAAAGCTATGTGGTAAATTTCTTAGGGTCTGTTCAAAGGTACAGATGCAAAAGAAAATGTCTCTAAAATATATCTTTTGTAAAGGAGAGACACGCAAAGCTCTACCTCCTAACATTTTTTTATTTCTGCTTTAAGAAGCTAAGTAATTGTAAATTTTGTTACAAAGTCAATTTTCCACAGAGCAGCCCTGATCCTCTTCTGGGGTCCCCTGCTTGGCCTGAGGGGGGGGGGGGGAAATAATCTACTAAGACCTTTACTTTGCAGAGACTGAATACTGTATTTCCCTACCTTGGACGCCATGTACATGAAGTTGGCTTCAAGTGCCTTGTTTTGCACTAGGAATCCACTTATTTTTGTTTTATTTTCCTTATTCTCTTCCAAATTTCTTTTCATGGTTTCAAAATGCAAAATAGTGTTTTTGTATGATTCATGCACTTTACCAACTGTCAACCCTATTTTTTATTTATTTTTTAGGGCGTGACACATCAGCAGTGGTATTTGTTAAATGATTTCCTTATTGAACCTGTTGATAAGGTATGCTAGTGGTATACAGACCTTTTTTTGAATCTGTCTAATAACCCCCTCCATGTATGTGTGCAAATACTATTAAATATTTTTTTGTTTGTTTCTGCTCTCAGTGCGAGGCTGTCCAGTTTGATATGAATTGGAAAGTTCCTGCCATTTTATTTTATACCAAGAGGAACCTAAATTCCAAATACCACCTGACAAGTAAGGAGTCCATTTTTGCTGTTATCCTGAAAAATGTTCTTTTTTAAATGTTTAATCATGTTTTTATTGTTTTGGATTTTCTTTTACTTGCCATTTTAGAAGTAGAAGACCTATAGTATAAAGGTAATTATCTGGAGTCGCATTTATATCACAGATTGATGCAATACAGCAGCGTTTCTCAATCTTTTCAATACCGATGTATTCTTGAAATAACTTTCTGGTCTCGAGACCCCTACTAAAAATTACTATATCTACAACTCCTGATACATTAGTGTGATGGTCAGTGGGAAGAATACTCCTTACAATTGTGGTTAATGGAAAGAGTTACCCACTTACAGAAAGCAAAGAGAATTTTCAAACAAATTCCCAGCTCAACTTGCCAGTCTGCAATAAACAGAATTGTCCTTTCTAAAAGTTCCCGTTAAAAACACGGGTTTAGTTTGCACACATTCGCAAATACATCTGTAAGCTGCAGAGCCACTTCACAGCACGACATTCTCTGAAGTCCTAACTATAAATTTATGAAAAGATTGGTGTCAGTGGAAACTTATCTGAGAGGCAGAAATTGCTAATTGCTAAAGGAAACCCTGGTTGAGACACTGCAAATATAATCATAAAACTGTTCCGTATGAATTCAAACAGGTCTTTGATCAATAGAAACCATTAACTTGCCCAGTTAATCTTTTGAGACAGCAATGTAGCCTGGTTTTATGTTCTGAAATATCCTACATGTGCCACTGTGATATTGGTAGGAACCTAATCTTAATCAACCATTTAGCATCCTAGACAGTGACCTGTGCGGTTATGCTTGTCTGCAGTTAAGAACCCAATCGAAGCCAGTGTGTTGTTGGCAGAAGCTTCTCTTGCCCGGAAACAACGAAAGTGCCATGCCACGTTCATTCCATTGCTGCTGAATGAGATGCCACAGGCAGGAGAGCTAGTTGGGCTGGATGCAGAGTTTGTTACACTCAATCAGGTAACTTGCAGCATTTTAACATCAAATAATTGCTAGCATTACGAAGTGTTTGGTGGTTTTGAAATCTGATTGCCAGTTTAGTAGATTCTGTAGGTTCTTCATCCTATGCTGAAGAAACAGTCACTAGAGTGACACTTGAGCTATTGACAGCCAGAAATGTATCTGAAGTTACCAGGATCAAAAATCTCTTCTGTATGAAGTATACTCCTAGCACTTGCTTAAACTTTTGAGATGCATACAGGGATCACAGCCTTCCTGATTAGCACTTTTAATCCAGAACATTTTCACCCATACAAACATAAGTTATTCTTGTTTTGTGTATAAATTTTCTTTTTTTTTTTTTTTTTTTTTTTTTTTTCTTAGGAAGAAGCTGAGCTTCGAAGTGATGGGACAAAGTCTACTATAAAACCAAGTCAGATGTCAGTGGCTCGAATTACATGTGTAAGGGGACAAGGGCCTAATGAGGGTATTCCTTTCATAGATGACTACATCTCCACCCAGGAACAGGTCTGTGTATTATGTGCTCTTTCTATGAGCATGAAAGACTTGTGTTATCGCTGCATACTAGTGCATTAAGTGAGTCTGTTCTCTTGCAGGTGGTCGATTACCTGACGCAATACTCTGGAATTAAACCTGGTGACTTGGATGCCAAGATCTCATCCAAACATTTAACAACACTTAAATCCACATATCTTAAATTAAGGTTCCTCATCGATGTAGGAGTCAAGTTTGTGGGTCATGGTCTTCAGAAAGATTTTCGAGTGATAAATCTGATGGTATAGCTTTTTTAAACTGTATGGGTAGAATGGTTGGTTGGGCCAAAACTTTGGGCTACTGAGTTTTAAATTATACTGATTCCAAACATGGGTAATACGAACTAAACCTATAATTATGGGGGGTAGCATGGTTCTGGTTGATGAAAAACTACATTAATCAGTACATCCAAAGATCTAGGCAGCTGAACCTGCTTACAAATCTTAACTTTTTTGAAAGTAAAGTTTGGCGCTGCCTCATGAGCCTTCATTGGATTGGTAGCTTCACGAAGCAAAGATCCATATATAACTCTACCACGTACAACCCCCTCATAGTAAAATGCCCAGTCATACTGCGCAGATCTGATCTGAAAACAATCCTTGTCAACCTGCCAACAGTGCTGTGTTCCTGTGGACCAGTGACCACGCTGGCTTTTGAATTCCCCCATCAGTAACCATCATCCAGCATCAAACACCAAATGACTATATTATGTTTCATAGAGACATCCCATTATCACTATTGACCCCGCCTAATGCTCCGACTTCTTACACCTTGCCTCCTAAAGTAAACCAGGGAAGAGCACTTAAGACAGCTGCTGTTATGTAGCAGGATTGTGTAGTTTCTGCAAGAACCCTTCAATCATGTCTGGCAGCTACACTTTACTTGCTACTGAACAGCAGCATATGAGCTGCTTAAAAGCTCATTAAAGTGGAACTACAATGCATCTGAGTGCCACAAACCAATAACACTCCATCCATCCATGTCTCAATGCTTTGTTGCTGAGAAGTCGCTTTAAAAAAAAAACCCCCAAAAAACTAGCATTTCAGGCCATGGCCATCTTGTAATCCAAATAATACATGTAGGATTTACTTCCTGGAATCTATCTGCTCTTAGCTCAGGCATACAGGCAGCAGAATTTTACTTGCCTCAGAACCCCTCCTGAAGACTCCTGGGATGTATGACATTTTGCTAGGCCTGGAAACCAGGAAGAAAATCCAAGAAATAAGTTTTAAAAGATACTTTCCTATTGGTTTGCTAATGCTAGCAGCATATGTAAAAATGATCAGTGTTGACAAGAGAATTTCTGCTTTAAGCGAAGTGTGTGGGGTGTTTTTTTTTTTTTTTTTTTTTTTTTTTAACATTCTTTGTTTACTAGATATAATATTAATAGTAATAAGGTTCCCTTTGAGAGGTAAACCTCTAAGCTGTCATAGCCTGTGTTTTACTAGAGTTGTATAGATGGCAGGTGACATGCACTAAAGGTACTTTTTTGCTTCTCTGCAGGTGCCAAAAGATCAGGTGATTGATACCGTATATTTGTTTCACATACCACGCAAAAGAATGATCTCTCTTCGATACTTGGCATGGTATTTCCTTGGTAAGCCTTGCTCTTGGGTTCTGCCCCTAAATGCCCACATCCACCTGCAGCTACCATGGATGGGGGTGGGTGGCATATCTGGGTCTCTGATCTGGAAACCACAGTAAGAAAATCTTTAAATTGGAGCCCCCGGGATATGAATAACAAATTAGGGTTTCAGTCTGACATTTTACTCAAAACTTTACTGTCTTTTTGGTGGTCAGAATTAATACACTTCTGTATGGAGTGGCTATGCTCATTACTACAAGTTTTATACAGGAGTGTTCAGTGACAGGTGCTGCTGTATTTTATTCTCGGTCTCCTTTTCTATAATCAAAGCTTGTATAGCTATATTTTAAGACTGTCCATTGAGGGCGTGTTTTTATAGCTGGTTTGCTTCTATACTGATTTGTACTTGGAATATGGATGCTGCAATTGCTGTGCCCTCCTAAGAGTCATGCCAGTTAAAATGTGCGGGATGGGTACTAAACATCTTGGGCCTTGGGAGGTATCATCCCTATTTTTAAATATGTATACAAGAATTGCAGATTGGGACTTTGTATATACCTCCAAAGGTATGATGCAGACAAAACATAGTATCAAATTTCACTTTAACATACACCAAATCCATTAAAATGTAAAATCATGTAAATATCTTAGCCATACATATGTTCTTGAGAGATATGTAAATTGGTTGACTCGCTTCATGAAGACCTAGGATCTCAATATAAAGCTGCTGAAACCACATGTACACTCCTTTTTTTTTTTTTTTTTTTTTTTTTTTTTTTTTTTTTTTATATATATAATTAACCACTTCCCGACCGGCTGTTGCATATAAACGGCCGGACGGTGGCAGTGCAGGGTTGGGTGGCCGTCTATAAACTGCCTCCCCGCACCCTGCTTGTGCGTGCTCCCTGGGAGCGCGCAGCACCGCGATCCGGTGCCCGCTGTGTCCTCCAGACACAGTGGAACACCGATCGTCGGACGGGACCTCTGTACGAGGTCCCGATCATGTGATCACTGATTGGCCAATCAGTGATCACATGCAAAGTAGTAAGCAAGATGTCACTTGTGACATCATTGCTTACTACATGTGAAATCTGTGAATGATCAGGTCACATGGTACAAGCCTATTCACAACAGGCTTGTACCATGTGACCAATCACAGCTCACTCAGTACTTCTCAATCAGTGCAGGAATGCACACAGAGAGAAAGAGAAATGATTGCTTTTACATCCTGTGTGTGTGTGTGTGTGTGTGTGTGTGTGTGAAAAAAAAAAAAAATCCTCATCACCCCCCACAAGTAGTACAGTGTCACCATGGTGACACTGTACTGCTAGGGTGACAGTATGTAAAAAAAAAAATACGAATAAAAAATATAAAAATGCAAAAAAAAGTTTAAAAATTATAATTTTTGGTTAAACTAATTTGATTTTTTTTTTTTTTTTTTTTTACTAAAAAGATAACAGAATAAATTTTGGCAAAGATTTATGATGAAATATTTTTATTTGCAAAATTTTATAAAACACTTTTTTTCAAAATTTTTGGACTTTCATTTACATAGCAAAAAAAATAAAAATCCCAGCGGTGAATAAATACCACCAAAATAAAGCTTTATCTGTCTCAAAAAAAATGGTAAATTCATTTGGGTACAGTGTTGCATGACCGCAATTGTCATTCAAAGCGTGATAGGCGCTGAAAGCTGAAAATTGCCCTGGTCAGGAAGGGGGTAAAAGTGTACGGTCTGGAAGTGGTTAAGGAAACTTCTTTTTTTTTTTTTTTTTTTTTTTTTTTTTTTCCATTCATAAACAGTTTGCTTAAATTTTGCATAACATGATTATTATTGTAACACTAATTGCCAAAAAGTACCCACTGTAGATCATGAGAGAAAAAGGTGGAAATCTAAAGGAGAAAAATGGGGGGGAAAAACTTTCACCTTATATTCACACTTGTGGAAATGTACAGCTGGTGACAGCGTACCGGGCCCATGGGGAGGGTCTCAATTCCAGAACACCTCACAACTCAAAGAATCCTAAGAAGGCTGGTTGCCTGTCTGTCAAAATGACTTTGAACAAGTATGCAGATCAGGAATTCTGACTCCACTTGTTGCTTGCATTTTCTAGGTTAATGATGGAAGCCAGACAACCAGGTCCACCATTACTGCTTAGAAATGTGCAGTGCTTACATAAATATGTAATGTAGACAGTACTGAGCATACTTCTATGTTGTGTGGCAAATTATTGTGATTTGTAAAGGTAAAATGTTAAACAGATGCAGAAAATCTGTGTGATTATGTATTTATAGTTCTATAGTCCTGGGATGAGAACTTGGCTTGGCTAAATACAATCTTTAAGCAGCATTGTACACAAGACAGCAGCTCTGTATTTATGAGTAGATCAAACTTTTTTTTTTTTTTTTTTTTTTTTCTTCTTCCCCAAGAAAGTATTTTAACAAGACTATTTCCCAGACCAACAGGGATCAAATAAGTTAATTGTTGGGGTTTACTTGCACTTTAACCACTTAAATTCCACTCTATACCCCAAAAGATGGGGTGTGGATCAGGTGCACTCTGGACTGCTGTAGCCCTTAACCACTTCCTGTCCGGACACTTCTACCCCTTCCTGTCCAGGGCAATTTTTAGCTTTCAGCGCTATCACACTTTGAATGACAATTGCGCGGTCATGCAATACTGTACCCATATGAATTTTTTACCATTTTTTTTTTTTCTGAGACCGATAAAGCTTTATTTTGGTGATATTTATTCACCGCTGGGGATTTTTATTTTTTTTTTACTATGTAAATGAAAAAGTTCAAAATTTTGAAAGTGTTTTTTTTTTTTTTTTTTTTTTTTTTTTTTTTTTTTTTTTTTTTTTTAAATAAAATTTTGCAAATATTTCATCATAAATCTTAGCCAAAATTTATTCCGTTATTTTTTTTTTAGTAAAAAAAAAAAATCCAAATTAGTTTATAACCAAAAATTATAATTTTTAAACTCTTTTTTTACATTTTATTTTATTTTTTTTTTTTATTTTTTTTATTTTTACATACGGTCACCCTAGCAGTACACTGTCACCATGGTGACACTGTACTACTTGTGGAGGGTGATGAAGATTTTTTTTTTTTTTTACACTGATTGCTTTTACACCCATATAGGATGTAAAAGCAATCATTTCTCTTTCTCTCTTACACCCATATAGGATGTAAAAGCAATCATTTCTCTTTCTCTCTGTCTGCATTCTTGCAGTCATTGAGAATTACTGAGTGAGCTGTGAGTGGTCACAGCTTGTCACATGGTACAAGGCTGTTGTGAATAGCCTTGTACCATGTGACCTCTGTGATCATTCACAGATTTCACACATAGTAAGCGATGATGTCACAAGTGACATCTTGCTTACTACTTTGCATGTGATCACTGATTCGCCAATCCGTGATCACATGATCGGGACCTCGTACAGAGGTCCCGTCCGACGATCGGTGTTTCACTGTGTCCGGAGGACACAGCAGGCACACGGTGGTGCGGAAAAGCTAGAAAAGGCAGGTGCCGTTTATGGACGGCAACCCGACCCTGGACTGCCACCGCCCTGCCGTTTATAAACAGCAGGCGGACGGCAAGAGGTTAAGCTGTGTTTGGACACAGCTTCTCGCATGCTATTGACATGTAAAAAGACATGCTGGTTATCTGCCTTTCCTTTCCTCATCGCTGTCATGGAAATCCTGACAGCGCTTTGTTTGCATTGATAATTATGGCACTGATCATCAGTTCCACCTCATCACTGCCCACCAATGAACAATAAAATTAGCAAAATTGTCTAACAGAAGTAAGGAGAAAGGGGTGTGTGTGTGTTTTCAGTCTTTTTAAAAACCCAGTGGTGATTAAATACCACCACAAGAAAGCTCTGTCTCAAATGATAAAAAATTTCATATGGGTACAGTATTGCGGGACCACACAATGGTAATTCCGAGTGCAACAGTGCTGAAAAGTTGGCCTGGAATGGGGTTTAAGTGCTAAAGTGGCTAAATGCTTTCTGATTTGACATTCAGAAAATACTGAATATACAAATGTGTTTTCTGATGCTTTATTCTAGTGTTTGTTCCCAAACAACCCCCCCCCCCCATTCCACAATGTTAGGACATTTCCATATAGCTACTCTAAAAATTGTAAACCTGGTTTTTATACTTTTTTTTTAAACCTTTGTAAAGGTCTCTTTTGGATCAAGCTAATGCATAGTTTGTTTTATAGACCTCAAGATCCAAGGAGAGACACATGATAGTATTGAGGACGCACGAACCGCTCTACAGCTTTATCGCAAATACTTGGAGCTAAGTCGAAATGGAACAGAGCCAGATAATTTTCGGAAAGTCCTAAAGACTCTTTATGAAAAGGGTCGGAAGATGGACTGGAAGGTTCCGGAACCAGAGAGCCAAAACAGCCCAAAAAGTAAAGTCAGCGTGATTCTTCTTGACCCTGACCCCAGTGATGACATCACTTCAGTGACTTGCCCTTTCCCTCACTTGACCGATTAACCTACTGCTGCTTTCTTTAACTGACATTTTCTATAAAATTTCTTCCTTGACTGCTTTGTGAAAGACTGGCTAAAAACTTTTATGATGTAATTTTAAAGTATCTTGTGCTGATCCTTTGAAGCAAGTTTGAGAAACACTGGCATACAAGACTGCAAACTGAGCTCCTAGGCTTTAGCAAAGCACAGCTTATAGACTTCAGGCAGTAATAGAACAATTTTTGTAGAAAAAAAATATTTAAAGTGTAGTTTAGTGTTTAATTATATTTCAACACAATGATCTGCAGCTGCTCCAAGACTCCAAAATCGCCAGTTTGAGAGTGTGCTGTAAGCAAGCATTCAGTTCCTACTTTCAATGTTAGTGTAGTTTTTATTAGTCTGATCATCTTACATTTAATTTTACATTCTTTTGTGGATGGATACATGGAAGAGCAATGTTACAATCCAGATTCCTATCCCAGATAGTGGGAAGAGATTTCTATGGAAGGCACAGCCATAGTATTCAGCACTTGCCTACACTATAGGAGGCCAGGCTGGAATGCATTTTTTTTAATATACATGCAACCGGGGGGGGGAGGGCGCAGGGAACTATGGACCATATTAATTGTTTTGGCGAGCAAGGCCAATGTAAATACAAGAGTTTGCCACATCTTTATTCATTGCATGCATTAAACTCTCTGAATCTTTAGCCCCTACATCAAAAGTTGTTATTGTATTGTAGGCGTTTGATACCTGAGTAGTGAGATCCTTTTATTCAGAGTTTGGGTATTTCACCATGACTTTGCCAAATATTTACATTTTGTCTTCTTAAGACCTCTCTAAGCCAGTCATAGTTAACCCAAGATGAATACAGTTCATCACAAGCCCAAAACCTAGATCCATAAACATTCCTAAACCAGTTATAAATATAAAGTATTCACATACTTTTATAATAAAAGGGCGATGAATTGCATAAAATTGGAATATAATTCTTAGCTCTCCAACATTATAAGCAAGAAATCTAGCCTGAAGGGTCTGGTCCTCCTCAGAGCTGTGGGCCCCTTCAAACCACCAGAATTTATATTCTAATGAATTGCAGAAGTTTAGATTCAGGTGTAGTTGATTCGCTATCAGGCTTACTGGGCAGCTGAAAACCTATGAGGTACAATAAGCTGCAATCCACAGCTCTGCATTAAGTGCTGCTTTCCGTGATTAGGTCATGTCAGTCTCCTGGCTAAATTGCAATGTTTGATGTAATGTTCGTATGTTTCTCACACAGACCTGTGGACATCTGTTTGTGATGTGTGTGCGTGTTTTTTAAATCTGTTGACTGACTTTTATACTTTGGGACAACCACCTCTTTTAACTACAGTCCAGGGTGCCAGTTTGGGAGGTTATCCCATGGGTCCTTACCATGTTTGCCCAACTGTTGGGCTGCACTGCTAGGAGAAGTAAAGATTATAAACTGTGGGGCTGTAGACTGTGGAATTGGGTAATTTAGCAGATGCAGTTCCAGCTTCACACTCCATACAAACCTGTTTTTTATCTAGTATATTCCCAAAGTAATTGCAGTTATGACAGTGTTGTAATTTAAAGATCTGAGTTTTTCTTATTAAAGCATTCCTAAACCCAAATACAAAAATGTTATATTGTAGTTTACCAACTTTTCCAGTTTGTTGTGATGAATTAGTTGTCCAGTGTTTTTTTTTTTTTTTGTTTTTTTTTTTTCTTTTTAAGGCTACGTTCACACTAGCCTTGTGTGCAGGCGGCAGAGAGACGTTTGGGAAGCGTTTTTACTGCTTCCCAAACGCCTCTGCCAACTCTGCACATTACAGCACATGGTGCTGTTCTAACAGGAGCGTTTGCGTCGCGGCAAAACGGACGCCTCTGGTCGAGTCAGGAGGCTTTAAAGCCTCCTATTCTCGTCTATGGTGCCGCTCCGCAAACGGCCGGCGTTTGCGGTGCGGTTGCGACGCGGTTGCGGGGAGTTTGCGGAGCGGTAACACCACTCAAATGCATTATAGGCATTTGTGGGGCGTTATTAACGCTCGGCAAACGCCTAGCAACCGCCGCTAAACCGTGTATGCGGCGTTTGCCGAGCGTTAAAAAACGCTCCGCAAACACCGGACCAACGCTTGCCAAACGCTATAGGGGCGTTTGGCAAGCGTTGGCAAAACAGCCTAGTGTGAACGAGCCCTTATGCATATCCACTTTTTCATGGATAAGAATATCCATAACCATGGCAATTCAAGTAGCATGATCTGTAACTTTTGTTCCTATGAAAAAAGTCTGCTGGTGAAATCGGTCCCTTTTCTGCAGCTCTCAAACAAGGTTGTTCTGCACATTCATTTTGCGCTTGTCCTTGCTGTATATGCTACATGGCCAAGTATAGCAATTGACAAGCATAAGGTACTTAAGAGTCCTTACATGTAGATAAAGTCACCAACAGATGACAATGAATAACATTTTCTCTTTAGTCCATGGAGCACCCTTGCTCCAATCAGAGCCGTCACTAATGTATTTCAGCCTATCAAGGCCTTACTCATAGTTGAGTAAGGCCTTGATAGGCTGAAATGCATTTGTGATGGCTCTGGTTGGAACAAGTGTAGTGTTTGGATGAAATTAAAGAGAATTTGTATTCATCCTCACCGGGTTGCTGACTTTATCTACATGGAAGGACCCTTGTGTTGTGGGCTGGAGACCACAAGTCAGGTATGGTGAGTGGAAACAGCTGTTGCTGGCCCTGATTGTAATTTAAGCCTGTTAAGTACTCTGTACCCACATGCAAGATATTGGAACTGCAACCCAATCATGCAAAGTAAGGTGTGCCAACCAAGCCACACTACTTTCAGTGCTCTCAAAGCCATAGAACGATTAGGTAAAGCATATCTAAACCCAAGAATAAGAATAGAATATAGTTTAGCTTACTGGGTCTTGGATGGGTCAGTTGCACTTCACTTTTTTCCCTTGGTAATCCTGCCAGTAACGTGTCTATCCTAGAGTGACAGTACTTGCTGTACTGTGGCAGCTTGTCACCTCAGTTTGGGACTACAGAACAACTTTTTCTTAGCATTGTTCTTAGCCATGAGGACTACAGAACCACACCCCTCTGTTATAAGCTGATGAGTCTGCCAGGAATCATAGGTATTTTGAATACACTTTTTTTTTTTTTTTTTTTTTTTTTTTTTTCTTTTTTTTTTTGTTATAACCAACAGAACAAAATTGAGCAAATAAGAAGAGTTTACATACACTTTAAAGTTGTTTAACAGGATATTTTGAGCAATGATAGTGTGCAAGCTCTAACAATAGGGATAGAAGATTTACCACTCCTAATTGCAGTGCTGCTGTCCTTAACCTGGACCTAAGTGATGCTAATTGATTTAACTAAAAAAAAAATGAGGTAGTTTTACAGAGGTGGGTTTATCCAGGGTGGACACCTTATTAACAAAGTCTAGACCCCTGCATGTTTCTTTAACTAACGTGTATTGTCACAAGCTTGGTACTGTAATTATAGAAGGATGTTTTTGTTTTAGTAGTAATTGTATCTTTTTGATGTGTTTCTATGATGTGCAGCTTTAGTTAGCAATTTTTTTTTTTTAATTTTTTTTTTTTGCCATTAGATACCAATTTTATGTGACTTTGTACCTAACCCATCTCCAATTTTTGTTTTATCCACAGATGCGCCAGTGTATTCTGCTATGGTGGGACTTTAATGTCCTTTTTTAATTCTTTCTTTTTATGAATTTGGTAAAGTGGAAATTACTTTCCATATACTATTTTTACTGTTTTTTATTTGTAATGAATTGTGAAGCCGTTCTGTGAACGCAAGCACATCATGTTTTAATAAAAGTGAATCCAAAATCTTGTGCCCTTTTTTTTTATGTATTGCAAAAGTGTGTGTGTGTGTGTGTGTGTGTGTGTGTGTGTGTGTGTGTGTGTGTGTGTGTGTGTGTGTTCTCCAAAATACATCACCCCTCCCTAGTCTAGGGAGACTAAGGAAAAATTGACAGGATCATTGGACAATTCGGTTGTCTAAACCTTTTTATTGAATTTTGAAGTGGTTATCCATCATGGTAGAAGTAGCTTACTATAAATTCAGTTAGTCCTAAGGCTTTCCAGGCTTGTAAAGGGGATAGGTGTGTGGTGTTTGTTTGTGTCTTTTTTTTTTTTTTTTTTTTTTTTTTTTTTTCCCTCCCCCTAATGTGAAGGAATGTGGACCAGAAAAAAAATGTCTGATACTACAAAGTAGGCTAGGGGTGAGGCTGGAAGCAAAGTCTATCGCATCAAGAAAAAGGCTGAATAGCTGGACAACAGCTCCAAATAACATTCAAAAGATCTGGGGACACCAACAGCATTTGGCAATGTGTGTATTGGAATATACGTTAGAACATATAAAGCTTGCTAAAACCCATGTAAAAATATGTAGATCTGATCTTTGGTGGAAATTAAAAATGTAAAGACTGCCTCCACAATTCCTCCCAATCATCCCCATCAAAGCCTTGGAAAGCTCTGCAGGCAGACAATGTGCATATTTACTAATTGTAACATTTAGACCAAGAGTGCATCATTCTGGGCAGCACTGTCTGTGTCCTCTTTTATATATTAAAAAAAAAAAGCCAGAATTTCTAGCTCCGCTTTGGCTTAGACCATTAGGCACTGTGGAAACTGAAATTTTATCTGAGATTTCCAGATGTATACCTCACAACAAGGCTGATCAAGGCAGTGTGATATAAAGAAGACTGTTTTTGGATTGCTTATCCTCCATTCTTCCTTGCTTTATCCCATGTCTTGAATTTTCATGCAGGAAATAAATGCATAATTTAAGAAGTGGTGTTTGTGTTTTTTTTTTTTTGTTTCGTTTTGCAAAAATGCAGTAGCCTTTAAAGAATATTACTCCCAACATTTCATATTCCAGATGTCTGTATGATGTACTTGTGTTAAAAAGTATCCTGTTCTTGTATTACCCTCCTGTTTTCCCATTTCAAACTGACTGGCCATGAAAGCACACCCCTCCCAGCCTGGTCAGTTTTTCTGGATGTGCTGGAAGCACAGCCTGTCTGTTCCCAATGAACAGATTTTCTGCAAAAAAAAAAAAAACCTTAGTAAGGTGTAACAAAGTGGTCGGTGTGTCCATGTAATAGAGATAGGGACACAATTCTAAAGGACTCTGTTTGCCCAATATCCCTCCCCCACACCAGCCCTGAAAAGTAGCAATTGTAACAAAGTTCTCAGAATCCAGTAAACACCAATATTTGTCAAGTGAAAATGTTAACCGCTTTTCCTGCTGCCCTATAGTAGAACTACTGCTACAGGGCGGAAGGGCTGTGCTCTATAAATCATATGATTTGCATACCTGGGTAAGGGGCACACGTGCCGCCAAAGGTGGCTAGGGATGTCAATCTCTGGGTCCCACCCAGAGATTCCTTGACAGCTGAGACCTGTGTGTTAACACAGGTCTCTCGTCTGCCAGCAAGGACATGCTGATGTGTATTTCTCTGCACAGCGGAGAATTACACAGCAGCATGTTTCCCTAGTACAGTGATGGCGAACCTATGGCACACGTGCCAGAGATGGCACGCAGAGCCATCTCAGTGGGCACGCCAGGAGGAAGAGTAAGAGGAAGAGAACGTGCTCTCCTGCGCACCTCCGGGGGGCGCACCGGGCGATCTCCGTGATCGCTGTGTCCTGCGGACACAGCTGATCACGTGACATGGTAAAAGGCCAATCACAGCGGCCTTTTACCACGTGATCAGCTGTGTCCAATGACACGCTGATCACTGGGAAATGCAAATGCCGGTTCTCGGCTACACTTTCCTCACGCTGTCAGATCGTGAGGAAAGTACTGCCGAAAACCGGCAGTTGTCAGAACAGGGATCGGCACCGATCATCAGGGTCACTGATCATCAGTGCCCTGATGATTGGTGCCCACCTGTGCCACACACTTGTGCCCAGCAATGCGCCCACCTGTGCCCAGCCCCAGCAATGCACCCACCTGTACCACCCACCAGTGCCCATCAGTGCAGCCCAGCAGTGCTGCCAGTCAGTGCCCAGCAGTGATGTCAGTCAGTGCTGTCTATCAGTACCCATTATCAGTGCCACCTATCTGTGACACCTCATTAGTGCTGCCCATCAATGATGCCCAGCAATGATGCCCAGCAGTGCCGTCCGGTCAGTGCCTCCAGTTGGTGCTGTCAGTGCCCATCATTTCCTTCATATTTCAGTGCATCATCAGAGCCTCCTCATCAATGCTCACCAGTGCCGCCCCATCAGTGCTACCTATCTGTGCCGCCTCATCAATGCCCATCAGTGCTGCCTATCAGTGCAGCCTCACCAACGCACATCAAAGAAGAAATATTACCTGTTTGCAAAATTGTAGAATAGAAGCAAAGGAAACCTTTTATGTTTTTAATTTTTTGCTCTTTTTTCATTTATAGTGCAAAAAATAAAACACCCAGTGGTGATTAAATACCACCAAAAAAAGCTCTATTTGTGTGAAAAAATGATAAAAATTGCATATGGTTACAGTGTTGCATGACCGCACAATTGTCTTTGTTAAGTGCAACAGCACTGAAAGCTGAAAACTGTCCTGGGCAGGAAGGGGGTAGAAGTGCCCGGTAGGCAAGTGATTAATTCCAGTGTTGGCACTTTGAAATAAAAAAGTTGGTTTTGTGTTGCAGTTTGGGCACTCGGGCTCAAAAAGGTTTGCCATCACTGCCCTAGTAAAACACACAGCGCATGATGTGACCCTTTGCCTCAGATAACCCCTTCCTGCCCACTGTCATTAACACAGTGATCAGTGCTATTAAAAAAGCACTGACACTACTAGTGTCATTGGGGTGGCAGTTAGTTCCCACCCAGTGTCAAAATTCTCGCCGCAGTCCTGCTATAATGTGCTGATCACCCCTATTGCTAGTATTAAAAAAAAAAAAAAAAAAAAAAAAAAAAATCCAGTGGATATGCCACCATTTTGTAGATGCTATAACTGTCACGTAAACAAATCGTGAAATAAAATCCCAATTAATATAAATTAAAGACCTGTAGCAGAATACATTTTGGCCTAAATTTATGAAATTTTTTTTTTTATTTTAACACTAAAATATTGGTCACTATGAAATCTAAAAAAAAAAACTGATTCATATAATAAAAAATTAATGATCAAGGAATATTGGTGTAATCATGCAACCATATTTCATTTCAAAAAATTGCTTATGTCTTCAGAGCAAGAAGTGCAAATCTTGTTAATGTTAAGCATATTAATTTTTCCATTTAGTCATGTTTTAATATTTAATGTGCACTGCCAGTCCCCTGGACTTTCATATGATTTTACAGCCTTCTGTTGAGGAGTTACAAGGCTAACAAAGTGCCAATATCGCACATGCAATTATTAGTCCAAACATTTCCACACCATTTTTTTCCCTCTAGCGCCACGTGCAGTTCCTATTATTTACACCACAATGAGAAAGCTGGGATGACATCCTGGAAGTTTGAGTGCTCCAGGCGCACAGAATGGCCTATACTCTTACTTTTGGCATTGGTCTGCACAGCAATTTATACTCTTCAATTACAAATATTGAACAGTAGATGGCAACCTGTACATTCTTTTTAGCGACTGCTTGGCATATCAATGTGTTTCATTTTTTGTTTTTTGTTTTTTTATTTCTCAGCAATAGATATGTATCATAATAAGGTGAGTCTTAAAGTGGGTTTTAAATGCATTTTTATATTAAAATAACCATGTTATACTTACTGAACCTCCCCCTTCTGGGGTCCCCTGTCCCATTATCTTGGCTCCTTCTCTCAGCAAGTATCAACCTTTTTTCTTTTAACGTTAAGGGCGGGAGTGCATTAAGGTAAAAACTGTTTTTTACCTTTTCAACCACATTTGTAACATACTTCTCTACGCATGTCCCCAGAACAGACCTCTAAGATTGTACACTCTACAAGGTACCAGATTTAAACTATGGTTTCCTAACCATCCTCTAACATTATATTTGTTTTTTTTGGCTGTGTTCTGAACTCTTCATGGCTGTTATGCAACTAGGTGGATTCTCTGTGTTCCTAAGAAGTGGAGGGAACCTCCCACCATGGCACAACCCTAATGTGTCTGGCTCTCTGTAACGTCACTAATGATGAGGATGTTCCTGCAGATGGCACTAGACCAGGGGTCTCCAAACCTCCTAAACAATGGGCCAGTTTACTGTCCTTCATACTTAAGGAAGGGGGGCAGGCGGACTGTGGCCATGGGAAATATAAAAGGTCCCGACGTCATGGCCATGTGTCTTCTTTGGTGTTAGTAGTAGGAATTACGCCCCATTGTTGGAGTCCTTGGGAGAAATTGTGCCCCATCGATGTCATGGGGACCTTTCTTTGTTGTCATTGGTAGGAATTGTGCCCCATTGCTGGTGTCATTGGTAGGAATTGTGCCCCATTGCTGGTGTCCCCATTGCTGGTAGGAATTGTGCCCCATTGCTGGTGTCATTGGGATTAATTGTGCCGCATAATTGGTGTCAGTGGAGGGAATTATGCCCCATTTCTGGTATCGGAGGATGAAATAGTGGCCCAAAGGCCAGATAAAAGCAAGCAAAGGGCCGCACCCGGGCCACAGTTTGAAGACCACTGCACTAGAATAAGGGCCTATAAACAAAAAAACCCCCACTTTTTCAGATGGAAGCTCAGTGCAGTCCCAAAGCATAAAGCGGAGACTAGGTCAGGA